GGCAGAAAATGCAGGGAGGTGGTCAATGTGCCGTGCTATCTTTTGTTACTAGCGTACTGCAGGGTGGTTTTGTGTGTTAACAGCTCATGAGAAGTTGCTGGAGTACTGTATTTTCTAAAGGTATGTATGTATTCCTCTAGTCTCCCTTGGTGCTTGGTTACTGATGCTTTTGCCAGTAATATGAGGGAGAGATTGCTAGAGATGTTTACTCAGTATAAATTCGAATGCAGGTCCTTTGATTTGTGAGAGCTGAGAAAATTGTTTAGGAGATGAACATCTGTCATTAACATCCACCTCTGTTTACATAATAAATACCACACTTTAACCTCAGTAGGGGAGAAAAGTACATCCAACCAAAGCAAATCAGTTTGCCCACCTAATGCTTGAGGACAAAATTCCCATTGAGCTCCAAAGCTGAATATCACATCATCTAGGTACATTACACGACAGAAAATTGTCTCTTTTCCTTTTAAATTGCCTGTCCCAGTGGTCAACCAGGACCCAGCAGCATCTCACAGCATGTGCTTCACTGAAGCTCGTTTGCTGGAAAGGAGGTCAATTCAGACAGGGGCAGTAAGGATGGAGCCAGCAGCTCCAGCTGGTTTGGGTGCACTCCACTGGCAGCAGCACCCAAGCTCACAGAGATGCCATCACCCTGCTTTTTATCAGAGATGCCTATTCTGCTTTGCCTTTGTTGGGAATCAGCCAGGTCTAAGTCAGTTCTGACATTTATAATATAGATGGAAGTTATATTAAATGCAGGATGCTCTGCAGCTGCAAATTGCTCTATTTGAACTCAAATGTCAATTTACAGCTCTGTAATGGTATCCCTGTCACAGTCCTACCTCCCCAGCAGCAGTGGGCATGACTGCCTCAACACCCAGACAGGCACAGCATGCTCTCCAGGACCTTAGCTTCACCTCCCTTCAGACCCAGCTGGGGTCAGACTCTGCATCATGCAGGCAGTCTTGCATTTGGCAGCTGTAGCACTCCATAGCTGTGAACGTTTGGGTGTTCAAGAGATTAGTATTAGGGGTAGATCTCTCATAGCATGGTCTTACTGGAGAGACATGGCCTTGGTGATGGTTTCTGAGATTGCAGATAGACACCGGGTGCATGAAGCCTATCCATATTTGCCCATGTATCTCCATCTTCCAGTCCCAGTGTGTCCTGCTTCATAGCTCTAGGAGTAAGTGGGTCTTCCTTGCCTTTCACAGCTCTTCATTGCATGCAGCCTTTTTAAACCAAGGGGCCTTAGTGACTTAAAGATTTCTTTCCTAATTCCCCTTGTTACCTGTCAAAATGCAGTCTTGACAGATGCCCTTTGCCAGGGATGCCTTAACTTTTCCTTCAGGAGGTGGTTCTCAGTGTTGGTGCTGGGCCAGTTGAGCAGTGTGAACAGACTCTGGTGTGCTTGGAAATAAGCAGAATAGGACTCATTTTCATCTACTCAGGGGCCTTTGGGCTGTACCCATCTGACCACACAAACATTTGTGGTGTAGATCTGTTTCCTAGAGACAGATCTAGAATCCATTCCCAACTCCAGAAACCTGTCTGTGGCATCTTGCCTGCTAAACACATGCTCTCCATGAAGATATCACTCAGAGGAGGTCCCTCTCCACCTCCAACAGGAAATCCATGGCATGAGAATGAAAGGGCAAGCAGCAGATGACAGTGAGGAAAGGGACAAGGCTCAGTGAGCAAGGGCCAGTTCCAGTGGTGTTGCTTGGCACCATGGACCATGGGCAGTTATTCAGGTCGCTGTTGACACTTGATGGAAGATGAGTTTAGGCGATGCCATCAATACACCTGCACTGCGGGGAAACCTGTGTGCTGGAAAGCAGCCTGCACTGAGCCCATTACTTTTGCTTTGGAGACCTGTCACCTGTATTTGCTGTAATGGATGGAGAGGCATCAATACATGCGAGAGCAGGATGTGTCCCACGCTGCTGCCAACCTTAGGGAATTCCCTCTGACTCACTGGCCAGTGAAAAAGTTGCTGAACTGTTCAGTTTTGCCCCAGGTCATTTCTAACAGGCAATTCACTGCTCAGTGCTTGCTCCTCCCAAGTGACCCTCCGGGCATGCACTTAAGCCTGCTGTGGGATGGGAGCCACCACCCCAGGTGAGGTCCTGCCTTACCAGGATGAAGCCTGGGTAAACCAGGATGCTAATTTTGGACTGGGTACGATTTTACTCAGAGCTCCTCAGGAGAGTCCCATGAGGGCATTGAGCATGATTTTCAGTCCATAAGCAGTCAGCTGGGGGGAACAATGGGAAGCAGAAAGCCACCCTGGTTATGGACAAAGCAGAGAGCTCTGGGGACAGTGAGATGTGACCATCTGCCATGGAGCAAAGAATGACACATGGATTTTAGTGGAGTTGCACAGGGCTTGTGCAATGGTGGGTGAGGCAGTTAGGCTGCTGAGATTTCAGGGGAGATTTCCCTCCCCTAACCTCTCATGTTATTGCCGACTGATGTGGCTATGGATATGGGGCCATTCAGCTCCCTGCTGGGTTCTAGCTCAGGAACCCCTAAGTAGGCAACACCTTGCAATCCTCAGAAACCTCCCAAAAGAATATAGAGAGGTAGCTGAGGATATCCAGCTTCAAAACATCATTTCATCAGCACCTAAAGTGTCTTCACTGCTACTGAAAATTATGAGAAGTGATTCCCCTGTCCTTCCAGAAGATGAGAGATCCAGAAAAATTCCTCTTTTTTATATCTTAAAGTTATTATTGCCATAAGTTGTTAGCAGTTTTAACAGTTTACAGTGTTGACACGCTCTATATGCTTTGGAGGAGTAATCTCAGATAAAGGTTTAAACTTCTTTTTCTCTTCCTTTCCTTTCTAAAGGATCTGAAAACAGCTGTGAAATGTGAATAGATTTTAACTATTAAGCCCAAGCTGCCAAGATGTTATTTCCTGTAGCTTTGACTCATGCAACTGAACAAATAAATTGGAGCAGAATATTGTTTTCTAACGTCGATTTTTGTCTCCCTCTGCCACCCCCAGGCTCGGCTCTGTTTAAAGCCGATACACCAAAGCATACTGTCCCTTGGGCTCATTTTCCCTGCTGGCGAGGCACTGCATCGCAGGAACTGTTTGCTTGGGGCAGGGCGAGTCTGCACCCCCATGAGCCTGACCTGGGCTCCCAGTGGTCACCCACTCACCAGGGGAAGCAGCCTGTTGTCATCTGGTGTGGGCTGGTGCCGCTCATGTGCCCTGGGGTTGTATGATGAGGAGAACAGGGCTTTGTCCATGGAATTCGTCATCCTGGGCTGAGCATTTGGCTTTCAGTAAGACCTGTCCCCAGACCCATGACTGCACAGCAGAGAAGTCTAGCAAAGGATTCACACTGAAACCAGCACATACAGTTCCATTATCAATTCATTTCTGTGAGGTGTGTTTGATCATATTCGTGTCTGCATTCATTGTGTATTTCACTTGGCTTCCAACAGCACCCGCTAGCCCAGAACACGCCGAGTAAATAACTGCTCTTCATATGAGGGGTGGCAGGTCATAAGATCAGTGTCCTCTTATTGCTTCCTCTGTCTCAGCATCTGCTTTTACAGCATTCATGCCACAGTGAGGCACAGACAACTCGAAGAAGCCTCCAGATACATCTCATCTACTGCAGTGTCATTACCGGCAGCTGCAGGCTATGTGCACAGCTAAACTCTCTCCCATGCAGAGGTCCCGCACAACATCTATACATCATTAATGACGCTGTCACAGCGGGATGTAATTGCTGCCTAGGCATTTTGGTGGCTTTCTGCCCAAGGGTACATTTCATTCTTAATGTATTATAAATGATTGTAATACAGTACCTCTTAAAAAAAACCCCAAAACAACAAAAGGTAAGTATGCTGGAGAAGCTTTTGCTAATATGTTGGCCTGCTCTCACAGATTTAAAACTGTAGAAAGCACTGACAGCCATCTTATGTGACTACAAGATTGCTGTCTTGGAAGTCACCTTGAATAACAGTACCTCATTCAGCTGTGCTGGAGGCACAATCAAAGGGATACTGTTGTCTTAGTTTTATAGAGACATTTAAATTAGGCATTGTAGTGAGATTATCAGTCATGTTGCCTTGCTGTTGAGGATTTGGGACTGCACTTCTGATAGGATAACTCTTAACTGGTTTACAGCTGACATTGGAAAGGGGAAAAGGACTCTTCAGCTTGTTGTGTGAGACTGTCAATGAGGAGTGTGGTGGTTAGGAGGCTTTGGATGTCCAGGTGCTTCTTGGTGTTACCATCTTCTGGTAACTGCTCCGGACCTACAGTGATGCTGGTGGGAGTCCTCCTAACCAGACAATGAGCCACTGGTTGCATAGCAATTTAGTTTGGAGGGGTAAAACAGTGAAGTCCCTGGGGAAGAACTGCTAGCCTGTAAGAGAGATGAAGGGATGTGCTTTTCCTTTCCACTGCTGGGTATGCAATTACTGTAGACTCCCCCTGTCTCCACAACCTTGGCAAATGCCCACTGGGAGTTGCATTAAACCAGTGTGGGATACATTTCTGTCAGAGGTTTGTTGCTCAGTTTTGCACGGTATAGATCATTATGAGAGCAGAAGAAAAGCAGGACTCCTCAACGGCGGTGGAGAGGAGGAGCTTGCTGCAGGTACTGAGTGACTGCCACTCACTGAAGGCCAGGTACAGAAATTTTGCTTCCAAATTCAATCCTTAAGCTGAAAGCAGAGCAAGGAGGACTGAAGGAAGCCATGATCACAAACTTCAAAGCCAGAGCAGTTGCTGTAGGGTGGGAGTGAGACACTCCTCATGCCTGTGGAGACTCAGGATGAAAGTCACAGGCTTCAGATAGCAGCATGGGAGGTATCTGGGTGACTGGCCAACAGCCAGGGCAGCTGTGCACCACCACAGACCCACTATGAGCTTGTGAGGCAAGTGTTTATAGGGAATGGACTCGGCATAGCTAGCCTGGCTTGGAAAAAGAAGGTGAAGGGATCCCTCCATTCCCGTCCAGCCACCCTGCCTCTGCACAGGCCCTGAGGTAGCTTTCTTGCTGAGGGGGGGAGCCCGTAAAGGGAGACAGACAGAATCATGTCTTAATCTGATGGCACGTCCCTTAATTTTATTCTTTTCTAGCTAAACTAACCATTAAGGAAGAAAGAAGTGTGAAGGACAGAAAAACAAGATGTTGGTGCTGTCTAATGACACAGCCCTGAACTCACTTCTCTCCAAGCTGCTTCAAGACTACCTGGAGCAGACAAATAGCTCTGCACCTTCCCAGGCTGTAAGTGCCAGCAGCAACCTGGAAATCATCTACATGCTGCTGATAATTGGCCTCTTTGGCTTCTTCACAGTGGGAGTCATGCTGACCAACATCCGTGCCAGGAGGCTGGAGAACTCCCACGACCCCTACAACACCTACATTGCCACAGACATTTGGCACAAGAAGGACAGGGAGTATTTTCAAGCCAAGCTCATAGAAAATTACAAGCTGTGCTGTGTCTTTGAAAACCAGCTGGCCGTGGAGCAGCCAAGCATACAGATTCCTGAGGCAAAGTCTTCCTAGGAAAACAGAAGAAAGGATTGTATTCTGCACAGGGACATCCCAAACGATACCAGGCACAAATAAGGCTCACTGCTTGCCCATCTGCAGAGCCACAGGCACTGGTCTCAGCCAGGTTGAATGACCATGGACTGATGGTGAAGCTGGTGGATCTGTGATGGCCCTGGTGCTGCAGAGGTGCCCAGCCACCAGAACCTTTATTGCAATCAGTGTAAGGTTGAGGAGGGGACACACACATAGGGAATATCATGGACTCATCAGCTTCACCTAATGAAAAAAGCAAATGCTGGGGTTGCCAGTGTGAGCACTTGCAGTAGTCCATGTAATTAAAACCAAATTGGATCAAATGCAAGCTAGAGGCCTTAACTGCTAAGTTTGGTTTAGGCAATACTTTTCAAGTAAGACCTGAAGTAGCTGAAATATTTGATATGCAATTTGTCCAGCATAGAATAACGACTGTAAATGGTACAGTGCTGTGGATTGCCTGTTTCTTTTGGAAATGTGCACCCCTTTGAGATGAAATTTTAGAAAATAAATCATATTTTTTTTCTGAAAGCCATTTCTGTGGAAAAATGCTGGCTTTGGAGGGAAACTTTTTAGTGCCTGCCCCTAATTCCCAATAGGTACCCTAGATTGGTCTTGCCAGCTACTTTTGGTTTTCTTCCTCATAGGTGGGGGTTGATCCTGGCAGCAATATCTACCTTTGCACAAAGATTCAGCAGCCCACAGGGTCTACGCCATGCAAGTGTGTAATGTTCCAAGAGTTTCAGCCACCTGTAATTATTGCACAAGACCTAAGTGCTAACCCTTGGTTGGAAGGTGAATTTGCACTCTGTGAAAAGCAGCTCCATAAAGTGTTTGATATTTAATCACTGACACAGCCTATGTCTGTGCTTGCCTTAAAGCCCATGAGCAGCTCCTCCAGCTCCCAGGAGCAGCCTCCATTGCTGTAGTTATCTATTGCAGCATCCAGCTGGAGATCGTGCCAGCAAGGTTTTCTTGCCCTTGGCCTCCTTATTCCCTCCTTTGGCAGGCCGTGTCTGCTGAGCCACGGGGGCCTGGTGGCAGCTGAACTTAGCTTCTGCAGCAGCAGCTCTCATCTGTCTCTGTTAAAAGAGAAATATGGCTCCCCTGGACATCGTGTTACTCAAAATAACAACCTTGCCAACTTTATGCCTGTTTTTGCATTTGGGATCAAAGCAATGGCCTGGGCAGAAGAGGGGTTTTATTTCTGCTCTGCAGATACACATCCCATTTTTAGCTACTGGAGAGGAAAGAGAAGTGGGAAAGTCTTGAAAGAAAGTTGTGCAGAGCAGCCACTTCAAAGGCAAGGGAAGGGTATATAGCTGGCCAAGTATTTGGATGGGCAAGTGATACCAGTCACAGCATATCCCTTTTCCATGCATAGGCACTTCTTTAGCACTGCACTTTCACTAAAGTAATATCCCAGCCATAATGGTGTTCCCAAAATACTTAGGACAATTAAAACTGCAGGGTATTTTTTAAGAAAGGTATTTAGATGGTGCCTACCATTAAGCTGAGGACAAGATACATGTTTTCAGTATCTTGAACAGCTTGGAAAATCACCACCAGCTTAATTATCCGAGTCAGTTTTTCCTCTAAGGGAATATAAACCAAAGCCAAGCTTTGCCTTCTCAGCTTGGGCAACTGCTCTTTTGGGATCTCACCATGCAGTCTGTTTATTACTTAATTTCCCTTCATTTGCAAGAGTTCAAATGCTCTTGCTTTATGGTTCTCCATAGGCAGGCCCATGCAGCATCTCTCACAATGCTTAAACTTGCATCAAAAATGACTTTAAAATACATCAAAACCTTTGAACATACAGCTTGTCAAAAGGTCTCCCTGCTGCAGCTCACCCTCGGTCCCAGGTGTTTTCAGCTATTTTGGGTGTAGGCACTTGCTGGTCACTTTATTGTATTAGCTCCAGTGTAGTTATTTGTGACAAGGGTGACTGGCAGCAATTAGCTGGTTTCAACATGTTTTTTCAGCTCTGCAATGTTACGTATTTTAGAAAAGAGGGGGACCATCATGCCTTTCTCATAACACTTTCCTGTGCCACCAGGCTACTAACCACCCTTCAGTGGCAGCTGGGAACTCCCACCATGGGCTTTCACATTACCCTGTAGTTCTTTTTTCCCTGTTTTCTTCACTTGTACAAAGCAATAAAATGTGAATTGCAAACCAAGTTTGTGGCCTCAGATTTACTTTTCTCCTAACCTGTTTCACAAGCTCACAGAAAGAGCGCTGACACCACCTGATGCGCACCCACCCATCTATCCCCTTTCTACACCCTATTAACCAAAGCCGGGCCTGGGTGCTGGGATATTTCCTGCTACACCTAGACCTGGAGAAATATCAAAATGTCAAGAAGAGATTCCTCACCTCGAGGGTTTGCAATACCCTGAGCAAATTTGTCTCTGGCGTTCAGTGCAGTGGTCCTGGCTGCAGCCTTTGGGCACAGTTTTCCACTGCAGCCCCAGGCAAGCCTGGGTTTTGTTGCCCCACCTGCCAGAAATGAGGCTGGCAAAGGAGAGAAATAGCTGTAGGGTAGTATTCTCCCCAGCAAGGGAGGAAGCTCTGTTGCCCACCTGATTCCCAGGAGCTCTGCGCAAGGCATCAGTTGGCCAGTTAGCCCTCATGACCCCGTTGATGCAGATTCTTTTTAAGGCTAGAGAGAATAACTCTGATCACAGGAGAGGCAGGATTATATCAAGAGATCTTAGTGGTTTGGGTCAGCCAGGTTTTTCTGCATGTACTCCTAGGAAAAGGCTCTGAAATCCCTTCCTATATAGCTCTGAATTATGTAAAAACAGTTTTGGAGATGTAAAGTGTGAGCCAAGTTGCAGCCTGCATTGCCAAGCATCCTACAGGGCTTGTAAACCCAGCTCCCACTTCCTCTCTCATTAGCACTGACTCAGGCAGGACGGCTGACATGGGACCCATCTCTGACTTCATATAATAGGAGAAAGAGCATTCACTGGCCAAGAAGAGCCTAGAAATGCTTGATTTGTTCATCATCTTTGCCATAGACCAAAGGCCAGCAGCAAACCTATCATGTAATTACTGTCACACAGAGCTCACATTTCCTGCTTACTGGGGAGACTGAAGAATCTTAAACTCAATAGGCAAGTGTTACACTTTCTTTGCCCAAACTTCAAAAGCTTGCGCTCAGGAGACATAAAATAGCCAGGGAGGCTGTCAGATGTTTATTTTTCTCCAGGCCCCAATAGTTAAAGTCCCTGGCTTCATCAGCTATGGCTTATTCTAGTCGATAGCCTTGCTGCCTGCTGGCCTAATGAGCATACCTCCAGGTATTGCTCCCTGGTTACCTATGTTTTTTATAATAGAAATTGCATTACATAGAAATGCCAGCATTATACAGAAATGGCATTTTGAATTGAAGCCCTACACTGTTAACAGCAATGTGATGGTGAAGCAAAAAGGTCTCAAGCAAAATCCAAGCCCAATATATCAGGTTCTCTCCTGAGTATATTTTGAGAAGTTCTGCTTTGTGCAGTTGCAGACTAACATGGAAGTTGTTTGGTACAAAGCCACAAGAATAAAATATTGATAAATGTATGTGGTACAGCACAAATGTGGGCAAGATGCTCTGTTGTACCTCTTGGAGGGGAAAGTCAGTCCTCATGCCTTGGTGGAAGAAGCTCCAGGGCAGTTTTTCACTCGTTTATGCAGTTACTGACTCACAGGAGGATGAGCTCTCCCTCTTCTCCCCTTTCCTGCCTGCCCCGGAAACCTGTCTGGGCTGCCCAGATTCTGGGCAACATTGTGACTGTTGGACCCCCTGAAAACTTAAAGCATATATGTCCTCGGGCCATGCCTGCAAAGCCGGTGCATGCGGCATACCCTTCTCTGACAGCACACAGACATTTGCCGAAGTGTGAGTATGCTTACCAGAGGATACATCTGCATGGGCTCACACAAGAGAGTGTATGGGTGGCCTAAGCTCAGCTTTAAGACGGCCAGATGCCAGCTCCAGCTGTCAGAAAGCATGGGTGCAGTGCTGAGATGGAGGCCAATATGCCCTAAGGAATGATTAGAAGTGGTTTACATCCAGGCAGCACAGAGCTCAGGAAAGCAAGTCTGTGCTGATCTGTAGCAGCTCTGTAGCCTGATACATAGCCTTATCATAGCAAGACCAAACGGAGTTTATCCTTTGCCTTCACTGCAAAACCTTCCCTCCCCTCTCATCAACCTGGAGAACTTCAGACCCTGGTTCTTATTTCCTGTCTCATGGAAAGCTTGCATCTGCAGCAGCTGGCTTCTCATCATACCCAGCAAAAATCCACATAGGTGCAGATACAAGTGTTCAAAAACTGCCTAGATAAGGCCATCAGTGATATGCTTTAGTGGTGGTCTTGGCAGTCCCGGGGTAATGGTTGCACTTGATGATCTTAAAGGTCTTTTCCAAACTAGTTGATTCTATGAAACCTCTAGAATTGAGTAGTCCATCTAGAAAATACTTTAGTGAAAAGCAGCCCAAGTGTGCAATGAGTGTGAAGTGAGTTCCACACACCCCCCCCCCCCCTTTATAGTTATCAGTGTTATCTGTATTTGCAGTTGGCTGGGTCAGACCTGCCACACTGGGAAACATGCACAGAGAAAGACAAGCAGAAGGAAACAGATAAAAATAGAAGATATGAGCAATCAGAAGCAAGCAGAACATTCTTTAGAGCCAAGAACTGGAATTATCTTATACAATATTTCTATGGCATCCTGTTTCATTCTTGCACGTTGTTATCATTATGCCAAATTCACTCCCTAATCTCCTCATCCAGCTGCAGCCACCAGCTATGCATGTGAAACCTCCACAAAGCCTTTCTCAAGACATTGCTCAAGGGACCAGCACCAATGTGATTGCTGGGCAGAGGAGGCTGTGGAAGCTCACCCTGCATTCCACCAGTGCAGTGGGCAGGAGGCAGCTCCCAGGGACCAGAGCTGTCCACACACAGCCATGGGCATGTTCAAGCAGAGAACATCTGACACCAGTCAATCACCTTCAAATGACAAGAAGCAAAGGCCCATACCATGCCAAAATAGGCAGGAAAACTATCAAATCCTTGGTACTTCTAGGGCAGGGCTTGCAAGGAGGGTTGTTTCTAATGCCAGTTTTCTACTGCACCCACAAGTGTCCTTCAGATCAAAGAAAAGGGAAGATATATGTAAGTATTGATGGAAAATGCATGGATACTAAATCCAGAAGTAAATGTTGTGACTGTCTGATTTGATCTAGCAGAAGAAAGGCCAAAGACTCAAATGCAGTACTTTCTCCAGGAAGGCCCAGAGCTTCTGGTTGGGCTACAGCACATTGTTTTCAGAGGCCATGCAAGCGTGCCAAAATAATTTCTCTGCTTAGTCCACAAAATTCACACACTGGATTAGGGGCCACCAA